AGTACAGGACATCACTGAAGGTTTACATTCCATCATAAACAAACGACGAGCAAATGAGGAAGTTAAAGCCTCTTGCAAGCCTTCAGAAATAGAAAATAATAGTCAATTAAAGGGTAAAACAACCACCCCAAATAAACATCAACCAATTACTCAAACATCAAGTTGCAGAAAATCTGACAATGCAGCAGCATCCTCCAAGCCTACTGTTACTAGTTCACCCAAACCGGTAACTTCCAAACGTGCAGTAGGCTGGGGGACATGTATGTTCTGCAAAAAGAAACATTCAACATACCGTTGTGCTAATTATCCAACCAGAGACACTCGTATTGAGCGACTCCAGGAATTAGGGAGATGTTCGAGGTGTCTCAAGTCACACAACATAGACTATTGTGATACCCAATTCAACACCTGTAACAGGTGTAGAAGAGGTAGGCACCATGCAGCACTGTGCAAATATACGAAATTAACGTATTCAAGACCCAAGGTGGAAGATAGCATTCCCACCACAGTACAGTACTGCAAGGTGCAACAAACAAAGAGTGTCCAATTGGCAAAGTCTAAAGGTAATACGACTTTGCCTACTGCCCAAATTACCATCCTGAATAAGAGGGCCAAGGTCCATACCCGAGGGTTGTTTGACCAAGGATCCCAGAGAACATATATTACTAAAAAGCTGGCAGATGAATTACAATTAAGGCCTGTAGCCCAGATGTCATTCAACATCTCAGGGTTTGTAACAGATGCAGGACCTCAAGTCTACCAGGTGGTACAACCATCAGTACGCTTAGGCAGGTACGTCTGTCGAGTACAAGCCATTGTGGTGGACAAAATACCAGTAGACCTACAAGTTCAAGGTCTGAGAGCAACAGCCAAATTCCTGAGAAATAGAGGAATAAAATTGGCAGATAATATTAAGTCTGATCACCTCACTGACTTCGGTCTCCTTGTTGGGACAGACTATTGTCATCGATTCATCGGTAGCCCTACTAAATATCAGGGCATAACCATGTTAAACTCTGCAGGAGGTAAATTACTCTCAGGCCCAGTATCAAGCCTGAGGAGACCTATGCCTGCAGATAAACAATACCAGTAGAAATCTAAATTTGTCAGCTGATTATATTTCTCCAGTAGCATTATACTAAGGAGATTACAGCTGACTATAGTAACAGAGGTTGATGTTAGTATCATCATTTAAAGCTGAAGATGAGTTCATGAGGCCTCAGTGGCAAATCAGTGAACAGTAGCCTAAAACAGCTACAAGTCACTGCGTCCAATGTCACTGAACCCACTGCAGTCTCAGAACCATACTTTACTTTAATGATGAGCTATTCAATCTTCTGAATCAATTAACTAAATTAAACCCTAATAAATCTGATGACTGATTTGATACATTTATTATTTAATCAAGATGTATTCCATGGGCCTCAGTGTTTACATATCAGTGACCAGTTACCTGAAGAAACTTCAAGTTATATCTAATGTCACTGATCTCACTGCAGTCCCTGAATCATACTTGACTGTAGTACTTGATCACATCCAGTCTTCTGGGTTAAATAATATGTAATAAGGCTTGAATATTAGCCTTTCAAGAGTTGACAGGGAAATGAAATCGCATTAGACTTCTAACCCCTGCTACTCTAGTACGGGACATCCGTCCTGTACGAACAGACACACAAATGTGTGATTACTAACTACTAACATCAAATTAATCTAATAATTCGAAGGAGGAGTATCGGTGTGCGTCTGTTCTAATTAGGACTTCGACCCGTGAGCAGCCCCTGGGGAATTATGTCGGAAAATCCGACACCATTCAATATATCATACAGATAATTGCTGTTGTATAAACAAGTTACCCATAGAAAACGTAACTTGTAGTGGAATTACCGTCTATAGAAAACGGGATATCATCACCACATACTATTATAATTCACCAGCTATTCTGCTGGGAATTGTTCTTAAATACATTAGTCTTTGGACTTTACCATCATAAAAACATCTTATATAAATTAACTTAATTATCAATATTAAAGTAGAGTAAATGTGACCCTTCTATCACTTTCTGACATGTGGACAAAGTAGGCCAGGCGTCAGGGAGGAAGGGGGCAGCCATTGTTATACGAGACCAGAGGCTCACACGGGAGCAAATTCGGCTCCTGTTAATTTTACTTGGACGTAGTGTTATGGATACCAAAGGTGTACCATCTGTCAACACGCTGTCAACAAATCAAGTTAAGTGTTCTTTCCGAAACCCATTATCTATCATTAGTGGCCATTAATGTCATTATATAGGGTGACCCGGTTAGAACGCGAAATCGCCTCATACTAAAGGTAATTAAGCCAGGTCTTCATGTTCCATGTACTGTTTTCTCTGATATACTTGTCATATATAGGTATCTGGCTTCACAGCTAGCGCACTTTTGACAGGTCAAGACGAGGATGCAAGATTTGTGCACCAGTTACTGGGTGATATGGAAGCTACCTCAAAGAGGATAATTTGGTGTCTACACCCTAGTTATACCTGGTGGACTAACCTGCTGTACTATAAGATAAGGAACCTCTTCAATGTATGTAGTCTATTCTTGTAGTTTGATTGGCTGCATATATATTAATATAATAAACCCCCCTAATGTGTAGAGGATCGATTTGTGAGATTATGAGATTATCGCAGAAATACAGTCCACTTATCATTATACAAATTGCTATCGAAGTATATAAATTAACGTAAATATATATTCATATAAATTAAATAAATATAAATCTCACAGGTCGGTTCCCACATAGGGGAAAGTATTGAAACTGAAATTGAAATTGAAATAAGTTTATTGAGATAAAATACACAGAAAGGGATGAGGTAGCTAAAGCTATTCTCACCCTGTTCAGTACATCGTGTTAATACATACATATAAACACATCACAAACAATAAACATATTACCAAACATTCTGAGAGATAAACATCTACATTTCCTAGGGGGAAGTATATTCTTGTGGGAATTTGTATGAGGGAAAAGTATGTTGTTGTGCGAGTTTGTGTGGGTGTGTGGGGGAGGGGGCATGCGTTATGGTAAAATTAATTCTTATTCTTATTGAGTAAATCTGAAATTAAGAGAGAATAGCAATGAATGATACAAGAGAGGAGGAGGAGGCATGTGGAGGCACGGTGCTGGTCTCCGGACGGTCAGGCTCCTCTGGCCGGGTCAGGTACAGCCCGTCTCCTCCTGTTTCGGTAGTACTTATAGTAACGACGAGGACCATAGTGTATATACCGACGAACAACGAAATTAGAAAGTAGAAATCTGAACTATTGAGTTGGACAAACAGGAAAACTATTTTTTACTTGTGTTGCTTTGACAAACTAACCTAACCTAACCTTCCTAGACCAAATACACGATATATGAGGTCTAGTATAATATATGTGTGTTATACTAGGCCTAGGAATATTTAAGTTAGTTTTTTACATTCATTTTTTTAAGAATTCTTTACTAGTCAGTACGCTATTACCTAAAAGCTAATTACCTACGAATTCGTGACTACTGACGACCGTCACAATTAGCACTATATATACGGAGGATGGGATGGGATAAACAGGACGAAGGGATGGGATAACGGGTAACAGCAGGTGACTATTGCTCTCAGTCCCTGCCAACGCGTGCAATAGAAATAATGTGATTTGCTTACTCCTTACGGAGTTACAGCCCCGCTCCTGTGCCAAGTCCACTACGGGCTCACCATAGCCTGTGCTACTTGGAACGTTTCGTTCCAAGTAGCTGAATCTACAACAACAACAACAACAGCTTACTCCTGCCACTTGCGGGCTACTCATGCCCGTGCAACCACTTGGATGGATTAATCTTCATCAATCAATTACTCTTACTCCTGCCACCACTCACTCATTCTTTAAATTGTGATTAATTTTAGATTAATCCAAAATAATAATCTAATCGCTACTAAATAATAATTATTCTTTGTTTAAATTAATTTAGACGACATAATTATCTAAGCACTATCTAGTAAGTAGCTAGTAAGCACTAACTAGCTTTCTTAGTATGGGCCATTGCCCAGGTCTTAACGTCTTATAATGTTGTGGGTGTATATGTGGGGGGGTGTAGGAGGAAGTATGTTGTGGGTGGGTGTGTGTGGGGTGTATGTGTGTGGGGGGGGGGGGTGTAGGAGGAAGTATGATGTTGTGGGAGTGTGTGTGGGTGTATGTGGGGGTGTAGGAGGAAGTATGATGTTGTGGGAGGGTGTGTGGGTGTATGTGGGGGTGTAGGAGGAAGTATGTTGTGGGTGGGTGTGTGTGGGTGTATGTGGGGGTGTAGGAGGAAGTATGTTGTGGGTGGGTGTGTGTGGGTGTATGTGGGGGTGTAGGAGGAAGTATGTTGTGGGTGGGTGTGTGGGTGTACGTGGGGGTGTAGGAGGAAGTATGTTGTGGGTGTGTGTGTGGGTGTATGTGGGGGGTGTAGGAGGAAGTATGTTGTGGGTGGGTGTGGGGGTGTAGGAGGAAGTATGTTGTGGGTGTGTGTGTGGGTGTATGTGGGGGGTGTAGGAGGAAGTATGTTGTGGGTGTGTGTGTGGGTGTATGTGGGGGGTGTAGGAGGAAGTATGTTGTGGGTGTGTGTGTGGGTGTATGTGGGGGGTGTAGGAGAAGTATGTTGTTGTGGGAGTGTGTGTGTGTGGGTGTATGTGGGGGGTGTAGGAGGAAGTATATGGTTCATGTGTGAGATGTGTGGGGGGGGATGGTACGCAGGCCTGCTTGCTTATTTAATAATTGCCTGTGCCTGCAGGATCGAGCAGATAGCTCTTGGGCCCCGCCTCTCTAACCGTCGGATGTCTTATGTACTATCTCCCAACTTATTTTTCTCTATCATATCTGTTACATATATTTCTCACTTTCACCAATATTCCCAGGATGCAGCCCTCAGCAGCTGAATAACTCCCAGATATCTATTTCCTGCTTGGTGAACAGAAGCATCAGCTGAAAGAAGCTCTGTCCATTTCTGGCCCGTGGCTTTGATCAGTTCAGGCTGGGCCGTGGCTTTGATCAGTTCAGGCTGGGCTGTGGCTTTGATCAGTTCAGGCTGGCCCGTGGCTTTGATCAGTTCAGGCTGGCCCGTGGCTTTGATCAGCTCAGGCTGGCCCGTGGCTCTGATCAGTTCAGGCTGGCCCGTGGCTTTGATCAGTTCAGGCTGGCCCGTGGCTTTGATCAGTTCAGGCTGGCCCGTGGCTTTGATCAGTTCAGGCTGGCCCGTGGCTTTGATCAGCTCAGGCTGGCCCGTGGCTCTGATCAGTTCAGGCTGGCCCGTGGCTTTGATCAGCTCAGGCTGGCCCGTGGCTTTGATCAGTTCAGGCTGGCCCGTGGCTTTGATCAGTTCAGGCTGGCCCGTGGCTTTGATAAGTTCAGGCTGGCCCATGGCTTTGATCAGTTCAGGCTGGCCCGTGGCTTTGATCAGTTCAGGCTGGCCCGTGGCTCTGATCAGTTCAGGCTGGCCCGTGGCTCTGATCAGTTCAGGCTGGCCCGTGGCTTTGATCAGTTCAGGCTGGCCCGTGGCTTTGATTGGAAGGACATTCCCATACTATTCCTCAACGTCTTCTCTAATTACTGTGTACTCATTCCTCGCTCTCTTATACACGTGATTCCCTTCGTGTTGCTACTGTGTGTATGTCGTCCATTACATTATGTTACCTCAAGGATCTGTCTGTCAAGCCAGTGTCCAAACTTCCTTGGTCTCCAAGGGGCTCTCTGCAGTACTACTCAGCCTCTAAGTGTTAACTCAGAATGTGGTCAGCAATATTGAGTTTACCCTTAGATAAAGCGTAAACTTGGTATGGTTTCCCCAGTCTTGTTTCGTGCACAATGATACATAGATATATTACCCAAGTGTGATATATCTTTGATAAAATCTTTGGAGCAGGATGCACTTGGCACTAGCGTCCTGGGGGGTCACCACACACGCGCACTATCTTGACGTTATCTTGAGATGATATCGGGGTTTAGCATCCCGGCGGCCCTGTCCTTGACCAGGCCTTCTTTTTTGTTGTACATCCCCAGAAAGCAGCCCGTAGCAGCTGTCTAACTCCCAGGTACCTACTTACTACTAGGTAACAGGGGCATCAGGGGGTGAAAGAAACTCTGATTATTTGTTTCCGCCATCGCCGGGGATCGATCCTCGGTCCACAGGACTGGACCCGTGGGGTGCGATGTGTGTAGGTAAGACAACCTGGGAGCCGACCGGATCTCCAGGAAACGTGGAGGTACCGAGCAGTCCGAGGTTGACAAGTATCCCCCGCAGACCTTGCCAGATCTTCGGATACCGTGGTCCAGGGTTGAGGCGCGCGTCTGGGCACATCCAGGACGCTGGTTCGATTCCTGTCCTGCTCCAAGAATTTTCGCTTTTGGTGTTTTCTTTTTTGAGTATTTTCTTCCATACTTTTCCCTCTACCAGTCTCTCTTTTTTCCAGTAGTCTTCATTGTCCTGAACCAGCAGTAGTGTGGGTGATGACCAGACCTGCTCCAGGTCTTGCCCTGATCCAGCAGTTTTCAACACTGCAGCTTCAACCAGTTGCACGATAATTTCTTGGTCAATAATGATAGTTTTATATTATTTTATTGATATATTCCACAATATTATTACCAGTTATTGTAGAGGAAAACAACGCTTGCTTTTAGTGCAAGTAACTGTTGTAAATATACGCAAATAAACCTTTGTAATTAGCTTTCATGGGTGAGGAAGTAATTTGGAAAGTGAATTTTTGAAAGACAAAAGGCAAATTTTGACTCCACGAGATATTGCTTTTAATTCAAGCCATTCGTTATATCAATGGAAGTCATTTATATAAACCCGTTTTTATTCGAGAGAGCGAGCAATTACTCTCCATCAATTCCCATTAGTAAAGGTTAATTAGACCATTTATATAAAAATAAAATCATCTTTTCCGTTGATTGCAGAAGGCTCTAGATCAAACTATCCTCCTTAAGAAAGTTTCTTCGCTCAGTCGTTTTTTAAAAGCACTTTGGACCAGCTAGTCTCAAAGTTTTAAAAGCCATTAGTTTACGAAGCCAATAGCCAGTCCCAACCACTGACACAAATCCTTTGCAAGCGCGTCAGGGTGAACGCCGCGCTGGCACCACTGCGACAAGAATAGAGAGAGAGAGAGAGAGAGAGAGAGAGAGAGAGAGAGAGAGAGAGAGAGAGAGAGAGAGAGAGAGAGAGAGAGAGCGAAAGAGAGACCAACAGACACAAATTGGACTTAGAGTGAGTCATAAGCGTTACAGTTGACCTCAGACACCAGGACACGACTCTGCCTCTCCCCGTCTGATCAAGCTGACCTCAGATGACCTTGCCTGACCTCTGATGACCTTGCCTGACCTTAGATGACCTTGCCTGACCTCTGATGACCTTGCCTGACCTTAGATGACCTTACCTGACCTCAGATGACCTTGCCTGACCTCTGATGACCTTGCCTGACCTTAGATGGCCTTACTTGACCTCAGATGACCTTGCCTGACCACAGATGACCTTGTCTGACTTCAGATGACCTCAGATGACCTTGCCTAACCTCAGATGACCATGTCTGACCTCAGATGACCTTGCCTGACCTTAGATGACCTTACCTAATCTCAGATGACCTTGCCAAACCTCAGATGACCTTGTCTGACCTCTGATGACCTTACCTGATCTCAGATGACCTTGCCTGACCTCTAATGACCTTGCCTGATCTCAGATGACCTTACCTGACCTTAGATGACCTTACCTGACCTCAGATGACCTTGCCTGACCTCAGATGACCTTGCCTGACCTCACATGACCTCTCCTGACCTCAGATGACCTTGTCTGACCTCAGATGACCTTGCCTGACTTCAGATGACCTTGCCTGACCTCAGATGACCTTGCTTGACCTCAGATGACCTTGCCTGACCTCAGATGACCTTGCCTGACCTCAGATGACCTTGCTTGACCTCAGATGACCTTGCCTGACCTCACATGACCTCTCCTGACCTCAGATGACATTGTCTGGTCTCAGATGACCTTGCCTGACCTCACATGACCTCTGACCTCAGATGACGTTGTCTGACCTCAGATGACCTTACCTGACCTCAGATGACGTTGTCTGACCTCAGATGACCTTACCTGACCTCAGATGACGTTGTCTGACCTCAGATGACCTTGCCTGATCTCAGATGACCTTGCATGACCTCAGATGACCTTGCATTACCTAAAATGACCTTGCCTGACCTAAAATGACCTTGCCTGACCTCAGATGACCTAGCCTGACTTCAGATGACCTTGTCTGACATCACACTGACCTAACATCAACGTCATTCATCAGGCCACCAAGCCTTTTGGAAACCCAACAGCCACAAGCCAATCAGGGGCCGCAATGGATGCAATGATCGCAATTATCTTCACTTCCGTTATTAACGAAGCACAGAGAGCTCATAATGGCATATAAATGCACATAGTAATGGCGCAAAAGTTTTGGTCATTTTGAAAATTTATATCAATGTTTAAAATTTGGGTTGTTTACGTGCGGTAATTGTCATGGTGGTGGTAGTTAAGATGCTGGTGGTACTGGTGGTAGTTAAGGTGCTGGTGGTAATGGTGGTAGTTAAGGTGATGGTGGTAGTTAAGGTGCTGGTGGTAGTTAAGGTGCTGGTGGTACTGGTAGTTTATTAAGGTGGTGGTTGTACTGGTAGTTGTTAAGGTCTTGGTGGTTGTTAAAGTGGTGGTGCTGGTGGTTGATAAAGTAGTGGTAGTACTGTTGGTTGTTAAAAAGTTGGTGGTTACTAAGTTGGTGATGCTGGTTATTGCTAATGTGGCGATGGTGGTGGTTACAATGGTTCCAAAGTGGTAATGCTGGTTGGTTACTAACGCGGTGGTCATAGTGGTTGCTAAAGTGGGGATTTGGGTGGTTATTCAAGTGGTGGTAGTCCTACTAGTTCCTAAGTTGGTGAGTTTGATGGTAACCAAGGACCAAGGTAGATGTGGGCATAGTGGTGGTAGTGGTGGTTGTGCAACCCGTTCTCGCAAATTTAATAAGTCAATATTGACTTAAATATGTGCATAGGTGACATACTTAACATAATAGATACCCTTAAAAAGATTCATAGAAAACACCGACCTTACCTAACCTACTTAGTATGTTAAGATAAGCATCTTATTGCTTCGTAATTACAATTATTACCTAACCTATAATAGGTACAGGTTAAGTAATAATTGTAATTACGAAGCAATAAGATGCTTCTTAAGATACTAACAAGGTTAGGTAAGGTCGGTGTTTTCCATGAATCTTTTTAAGGGTATCTATTATGTTTAGTATATCACCTTGCACGTAGTTAATAAGTCAATATTGACTTTACGAATTTGCGAGAACGGGTTGGGTTGTGGTGGTTGCTAAGATGGTGGTGCTTGGATGGAATTACGACCACAACTAACATCACTTTCGCTCTACGATGATGATATCTTCAAAATCCTTAATCCCTGAATTATTAAGTTTTCTCTGGGAAATATGGCAATAGGAATTATGTGAGTTTAGTTTATAATACTGCTATTACATCAGGGTTTGTGTTCTCATTCTATTCTCTGAATTTATCTTTTTTTTGACAATCCATTAGCATTATTAGACGAGTTGTTGCAATTCATTGCTGTTATATCCTCTGTTTTGCTAATGCCCCTACCTAGTAGTGAGGTACTAAAGGATTCATGTGTAATAGAAGGGAGAGTTGGGTTGGGAAAGGTGGATGTGGCCCGAGAGAAAATAGGGAGGAGGAAATAATGGTGAAAGTGAAGGGTTGGGGATAATGATGTAATTGGAAAGTAGGGACTTGATGAAATATAGGTTGTAAGTAGAGGTCTGGGGTGTGGATGTGTTGATTGTAGTTGTGCTTCTTTGCTCGCTGTGTGTGTGTGTGTGTGTGTGTGTGTGTGTGTGTGTGTACTCACCTATATGTACTCACCTATATGTGCTTGCAGGATCGAGCATTGACTCTTGGATCCCGCCTTTCTAGCTATCGGTTGTTTACAGCAATGACTCCTGTCCCATTTCCCTATCATACCTAGTTTTAAAAGTATGAATAGTATTTGCTTCCACAACCTGTTCCCCAAGTGCATTCCATTTTTCTACTACTCTCACGCTAAAAGAAAACTTCCTAACATCTCTGTGACTCATCTGAGTTTCCAGTTTCCACCCATGTCCCCTCGTTCTGTTATTATTACGTGTGAACATTTCATCTATTTCCACTTTGTCAATTCCCCTGAGTATTTTATATGTCCCTATCATATCTCCTCTCTCCCTTCTTTTCTCTAGTGTCGTAAGGTTCAGTTCCTTCAGCCGCTCTTCATATCCCATCCCTCGTAACTCTGGGACAAGCCTCGTCGCAAACCTCTGAACCTTCTCCAGTTTCTTTATGTGT